AAAGTTATTTTTAGACAATTATTTGATTAATTCTATCTTGAAAGAATCTTGAAATTCTTATGTTTGAATGCAATCAGGATGGATGTGATCACCACTGCAAACGAGTACTCCGTTTTCATGTTGCACCACACAGATACATATTTTTTGTTGGTACATCCAAAACAGTTGTGAGACATATCTAGCAAGGATCTGGCAGTAATAATTCTGCCTGATACTTAAAGGAGATGTAATTACTTAAGATTCCAGCAAGAAAGTGCAGACTTTCTTCAAAAATTCAGTCTTCACAGTGATTATAGATTAAACAGACATACCTCCTTTTGTTGTCCTCTGCTAGGTGGTGCTCCCAACCTTCATCCTGGAGAAGCGCTCGTTGCTAGAAATGTATGCCAACTTCATGGCTCATCCCGACATGTTCTTATCCATCACGTCTGGCTGCACGGCGGAGGAGCGCTTTGTTCGCTTTGTCGAGTACTACCTGACTGCCTTCCACGAGGGCCGGAAGGGAGCTGTGGCCAAAAAGCCCTACAACCCCATACTGGGTGAGAACTTCCACTGTTCCTGGTATGTGCCTCGGGGGCATGTTCGTTCTCTCAGGACTACCAACTGTACTGGTGCTAACTCAACAGCAGCCACTACCATTCCTGGGTCCCCGCAGAGGGGGACAGACACTAGCAGCAGAAGAAACTCAGACTGCTATCGTGTTCGGTTCGTGGCAGAGCAGGTGTCCCACCACCCTCCTGTATCTGGCTTCTACTGCGAGTGCAAGGAGAAGAGGATGTGTGTCAACACTCACGTCTGGACCAAAAGCAAGTTCATGGGCATGTCTGTTGGCGTCTCCATGGTCGGGGAAGGTAAGAGTTATCTTTGTGTTCATTTTGGATCTGAATTATCGAAATGTGTATCAAACAGGACATAAACAAAGGCAAATGTGTTTTCTTTCAATTGAGTTTGCCTTTGACAAAAGAAAAGCATTTCAACCTCTGTTGAAAGTTTATCAATCTACCATTTGTGTTAGCTGGCTGGCAAGCTAACTAAAGTTATGTCACTGGCCACTGTTTAAAGTTGTGTGACTGCACAGTGAGGAGCTGCTTGTCAGATGATGTCTGGGGATGAATGACATTGCACTACAAGCAGTAGTACAAGCCACTAGTAAAATCCTGATGCTGTTCTATTAGTTTATGAATGGGATTAATTACTTTTTTAGGAGCAGGTGGTCAGCATGGCTAACTACAGCACTGACAACATTATTTAACATATGCAGAAACACATACACGTATGCATAAAATCAAATGGATGGTAAATGGATTTGTATTTATACAGCACTTTTCTGGTCTACCAACCACTCAAAATACTCTACAACATTTACACATTCTCCAGTTCATACACTGATGACAAAGGCTGCCATGCAAGGTGCCAACCTGTTCATCAGGAGCGACACAGGGCTTTCTATTGCACAGCCACTAGGAGCAATTTGGGGCTCAGCATCTTGCCCAAGGCACTTCGACTGGACTGGGCAGGGGAAGCTGGGAATGGAACCGGTTAAATTGCTGTGCATAATTCAAAAAATAGGATATCTGTTTTCTGCTTGTAGGTTTTTTCCGAGGAACAGAACAGTGTGTGTACATGTTGCGTGTGTGTGTCTAGGGGAAACAGATGTGGATGTGTTAGACCTGGGCCCATGGTTAAAGACCGAGTACAGGATAGCTGTCTATTATATAAGCAGCAGGAAGAGAAAAGGGAACAGGGCTGGAACAGGAGGGTCAGGAAGCAGGCAAATTCAGAGCCAAAGTGGCAATCTAAATCTAAATCACAGTGTAACTGCATAGTTACAGCTGACATTTTTGTTCACCTTCTCAGAATGTACACTGGAGACCGGAACTCAGGAGGATGAATCCTACTGACAGGCGGGATTACCAGAGTCAGTAGGATTCATCTATGAAATACGTACAGTGGATGTTGAGTTATTTTATTTTGTACCAGAGTAGTGGGCCAACTGACCGATTACAGGCAAACCAGCTTACCAACCAACACACCAACAAAACATTACTTATCAAATAAAGAGACAGCTTCGCAAAGAAGTCAAGTTTTGTCTAGAAGATGGTTTTACAGCTAGAAATAGAAATCATCTCTACGCACATGATTAAGCTGTGGTAATCTGGTGTTTCCCTTCTTAAAGCTGCAGTAGGTAATTTTTATTAAAAATTGCATTTAGTCATATTTGCATTTTTTGCAAGAATTCCTTGGATTAATGGCAAATTGTCAGATACCAACCCTGGGAATAAGACTTAACAATCATAGTGGATTCATGCAAATGCAATTAAGAAGACCAGGAAAAGCCAGAGGACCCCCATTTTTTCTTAACCTACTTTTAGTTACCTACTGCAGCTTTAACTGGCTGTGAGTTAGAAGAAACCAGACTGATGTGTGCAGAAGCGCATGGGGTTATTTTATAGCGATACTTCATTTAAATGAAAGGTCACTCCTTGTGTAGCAATAAGCATGCACGCATGTACATTTACTCAATAGGTTATTGTTTTTACTTACACTACTTACACCACTTCTGCTTCACTCTAATTCAGGGGAATGTTGTATACTTGACTTAGCCTATTTTTTCCTATGCACATTGTTGTCTTATCACCACAATAGTTCTAAAATATCCAGAGGTGATTCCTCATACTGTCGCTTCTTTAAATCTGTTCTCTGTGTCTCCCAGGTGTTCTATATTTGTTGGAGCACGATGAGGAGTATGTGTTCACACTGCCCTGTGCCTATGCCCGTTCCATCCTGACTGTGCCATGGGTGGAACTTGGGGGTAAGGTCACCATCAACTGTGCCAAGAGTGGGTACTCTGCCACTGTAACTTTCCACACCAAACCCTTCTATGGAGGAAAAGTACACAGGTAGGCAGAGAGAGCCAGTGTCTCTATTTTCAAAAAACAATTTAATAAAATGTTATTTGTATAGCTTAAATTCATGACAGAAGTTATCTCAGGAGACTTTTCAAACAGAGTAGGTCTAGACCAGAGCTGGCCATTTTATGCCCCACGGGCCACATCCGGCCCTTTGGGCATCCCTGTCCGCCCGTGAGGTCAATCATAAATTAAAACATTAATGAAAAAGTATTTATGCTGTGCACGCAACACAACTGTGTTGCTTTTATTTTGAAAAGCGTGCCTTTTTTTTATACATTTTTGTAAGGACGCACATGCGTGGATAAACAGCTACAAGTGATGCTGGCCAGCTAGCCCTCAAAATGTTTGAAAAGTTGATACTGAATGCCGCGTTTTCAACAAGACATGGACTGCTAAATATTTATTTACAGAAGTCAAAGGTAAAGCTGTGTGCTTAGTTTGTGGTACACAGGTCGCTGTGTTTAAGGATTACAATTTGAATCGCCACTACGTGACCAAACACGAGGAGAAATACAAGAACTTGTCTGATCAAGAGCGTGCAAGGGAGTCGGATGCTTTGCTAGCTCAGCTGCAAAATCAACAAGGACTTTTTAAACTTTGCACATCCAGAGATGCAGCTATCAAAACAAGTTATGTCATATTCCACAAAATAGCTAGAAAAAGTAAACTGTTTTGTGACAGAGAGTTTATTAAGGAGTGTTTGTTGCACTTATATGCCAGGAGAAAAAAAGAGCATTTGAGAACTCGCCCTTCTCCCGACGTACTGTTACGAGGAGGGTTGAGGACATCGCGGGAAATCTGGAGCTTCAGCTGAAGAACAGAGCGATCAACTTTCAACGACTATTTTTCCCTGGCTTTGGATGAGAGCTGTGATGTACGTGACACTGCCCAGCTACTCATCTTCTTACGTGGGATAACTACAGACTTTAAGAGGAGCTCAGTGCATCATGGGAAATCCCCCGATAGTCTAGGGGCCTATAGCAGCATAATTAGGGGATGGTTCAGGATCACCTGAGCCACGCCCTAAACTATAAGCTTTATCAAAGAGAAACTTCTTAAGCATACTCTTAAATGTGGAGGAGGGTGTCTGCCTCCGAACCACAAATGGAAGCTGGTTCCACAGGGAGAGGGGAGCTTGGTAACTGAAGGCTCCTGTTTTAATTTTGGAGACTATAGAAACCACAAGTAGCCCTGCACTCAGAGAGCGCAGTGTTCCAGTGGATTAATAGGGTACTATGAGATTATAAATTATATTCTGAATTTTACAGTGCAGAAAAACTAATACAGGAGAAACATGCTCTCTATATGGAGCTATTATTGTAGCAAAACTATGTACAAATGTGTGTGAAGAGTTGTGTAACTGTTGCGTAATCTGATTTGTAAATGTGTAAAATAATCTGTAGATATGTACTGAGATTTGTGAATGTGTACAGGAATCTGCAAATATGTGTTCAGAATCCGTGTGTGCGTAATCCAGAGAAGTTGTAATGACAGAGAAGTGTAAGTATTTACTTAAGGAGCTGGAAATACAAACAATTAATTTGCTACAATAATAACTCCATACTCTTTTCCTAGTTCCTGTCAGTATTCGTGCCGCAGCATTCTGAATTAGGTCTAGCGTCTTAATGGACGTATTGGGGCAGCCTGATAATAAGGTGTTGCAGTAATCCAGCCTAGAAGTAACAAATGTATGAACTAGTTTTTCTGCATTTGTCTGTGACAGGATGTGTCTAATTTTTTTAATA